AAGAATAATAGTAATATATATATTTTTGACTGTGGCAGAGCCTAACTTGTCAAAAACAATAGCAATATGTATATATATCCTTGACTGTGGCAGAGCCTAACTTGTCAAGAATAATGGTAATATGTATATATATCCTACCTTTCTTGACCGGGTAGAGCGTTCGTGCTGATAACGTGTTATAAAATACGGGGAATATAAAGAACGCAATGTATAGAAACCGGATATAAACTGTAACAGATTTCTTTCTTTCTTTCACTTCTTTTTCCTTCACTTTCGTACATCACAAAATGACTACATTTGTTGACCTTTTATAGGCAATTTAGGCACACATACCAATAACATACATATATAATAATGAAAAGATAATTAGTGGTAAATTCCACTTATGTACAATAGCAACTTCAATCCCAAAATAATATTCACCTTCTTTACAATTTAGATGTGCAAACGGGTCGAATCAATCTCGAACTCCTGATATTTGAGTCATCGAGTCAATTAAGTAAGATGAACTGATGAAAAAAAAAAATAAAAACTAAAAAGAGCCGACTAGCACGAGTTCAGTCATTTATCAATATTAAAAGAATCGAACTCACTTTTTAACAAGTCAGAGCTAAGTTGAAGTAGAAACACCTATTAGAGCCTAAATGAGCCAACCGAGTTTATAACGACACATTTCGTTTAGCGATGCTTAAAAGGAGTAAAAAAAAAGGCCAATTTACACGTATTCGATAAGATTTACAAATAATTAAAAAACTACGCTTAAGAGTAAATAATTAGCAACCCAACGAATTGATTGTCAATTATTTATGAATATACGATCTTATCTGTTACCAAATGAAGACGGTTTCTGTTCAAATTCTGTCTTGAGCATTCTGTTTTTAATGGACAAATAAATAAAACTTCAAATCTGGAATAAGAAATCATCACCGATTTAGAATAGAACCATTTTCAAAAATTTAAAAGGTAAAAAATTTTCAAATCTAGCAGAACAAAAACATCTAGGATTAAGAATGTAAAGATATTTCAAAATCTAATCATTCATCACAGTGGTGAGTGGAATAAGAAGACATGGTAGTAGACGCATATACTGAACATATACCCGACTGATGACAAAATTGTTTCGCATTATGTTTTGACCTCTAGAATTTCCCATATACGCCGCATATATTGAACATATACCCGACTGAGAATCACCGCTAGAACATATACCCATATTTGCTCATCCTCGAATTCATCGATCAAACTTTCTTTCGAATCATCTCCTGCGGTTTGGGGTTCATATTTAACGCGATAATTTGAATCCTCCGTTTCTTCTACTTTAGCCGCATTAAGGATCTTTCTTTTTGGATGTCTCTGGCTTGTTTCAGTCGAAATTCTCCATGGTCCGACTAAAAGTCGTCGGAATCGGGGTTGGAGATCTTGGTTTTAGCCATGAAATTTAGTCTTAGGGTTTGAAGTTGCTTTGAGGGAGGAGTCTGTTCCAAACGTGTGAAAGAGAGAATTAATTAGGATATGTGGGAGAGAGAGAGAGAGAGGATTAATAAGGCGTCTGTTCCAAATATTATCGTAAATTCACAAATAAAATTACATTGGATGTTAATTTTACAACATTTGTTGTTTTATTCAGTAATGCTAAAGAGACAACAACCAATTATACAACGAAAAGGGCTATTATACTTTCAAGCAAAAACGAAATCAGTTTGGGCTATGGGCTATGG